GAAGCAAAAGACAATCTCAAAAATGAAAGGCATGGCAATTGGATGATAAATTACCTAAGGGATGGTTTAGGAAGGTGGTAATATTGACACATGGGCAAATCATGTGTCAAAAAGGGGGAGTGATAGGATTAAATAATAAATATATACGAAGGAGAGGACAAAATACTAAAAAAAATAAAAAATAAAAATATAGAAATTGAGAGCTCAACATGTATGTGTGAAGATAGTTTATTAACCACACCCGTGTGTCAGAGGTTTTGTGCCCCACAGGTGAACTAAAGGAGAAGGTGACCCACTCTATCTCACCAGGAGACTGGGTGTGGATCCAGTCCCTAAAAGAAGAAAAACTGGAAGCAGGCCTGTTGGGAAGGGCCCTATCAAGTCCTATTAGATCCACCTGGGTGCATGTCACACACTGCAAAAAGGTAAACCCAGTTACACCTGATGAACAAACACAGAGTTAGGAGAAAGAACCGATCACCATTAGGGCTCGGGGGTTGGCTCCTTAACGAAGATTCCCTTACCCTGTCTGATCATCCCTGTGTGAGTTCAGTAGAAGGTGAAGCAATGGGTTGGCGTCTGACATGTTCTCAGGGCGAGGGTGGGGATTCACAGGTCTCCCGACGGTAGGTAGCTGTCTGATTGTGGGGGCCATATTCCTAACACACTCAAACCCTCCTGATCAGCCAGAAGTAGTAGTTAACCTAACACAAGTTGATAAAATAATACCTGAGCACAGTCTACGAAGGCATAGGAGACAGCTAGACGTAGGGAAAGGGGAAGTACTAGGGACTTTAGGGAAGGACATCACCATATGTATGTCACCATGTACATCCTGGGACTATGTAGTTGCTCATACCGAGCGGGGGGGGGGGGGGGGATATGTAAATCTCCATACACAGTTTAGGGACAGGTGTAGTATTGTGAAAGTAGGGAATTACCAGAAATGGCAGTGCGACCCATAGAAGGGTAGGTACTGTCTGAAAGTCTGAAGTACGCAAAAACAGGTTTATCCTCCATGCAAGCCACCTGGGAATGTGGTGAAAGAGTCTTGTAGTAACTTGAACTATCTGTATCCCCCGATAACAAAGTCATTCCGACCTAGGTTGCCTACGTTTGAAGTCTCAGGGGATTCTAATTGTTTTTCTAGGACTAGTAAGATAGGATACAGAGTAGGGCATCTTAGCTCCTGCTCCTACACAGAGAATATCACAACTAAAAGAGACCATGACTAATCTCTCCTCTTTGTTGCAGCCAGAGGATTTTAGGAACCAAAACCAGGCCCGTGCTGACATCTGATGGTTGTGTGGTGATAACTGATTGTGAACTCACCTACATATGTAAACAATCAAACGTGTCAGAGACTGGTGAGTTGTCACGTAGAAAGTAGGACCTCCTCCCGGGATCCTTTGATGAAAGGATCCTTTGATGGGATAGGAGTACCTCGAGGGGTTCCAGAACAATTCAAAGCTAGGAATCAGATCGCAGCTGAGTTTGAATCAAGTCTTTTTTGGTGGTCAACAATTAATAAAAACGTAGATTGGATGAATTATATTTACTATAACCAGCAAAGATTTAGAAACCACACTCGTGATGCGATAAAGGGATTAGCTGAGCAGACAGCGGCAACTAGCTTAATGACATGGCAGAATAGAATGGCTTTATATATGCTTTTGGCTGAGCGGGGCAGAGTTTGTGTTCTGTTTGGATATATGTGCTGTATTTTCATCCTCAAACAACATAGCACCGGACGGGTCCGTGACAAAAGAGCTTCAGGGGAGTAACCACGCTGACGAACGAACTGGCTGAGAACTCTGGTATTGATAGCTCCCTAAACGGTTGGTTTGATAACATATTTGGAAAATGGAAAACTATTGTTGTAACTATTCTGGGTGAAGTTATAGCTTCTATGGGTATACTTGTTCTTTGTGGATGTTGTCTGGAGAAGGTGGTTTCCCAACAGATGGTGAGATATGGCCCAATCCTGGACTCCGACCTAAGGAATTAAGGATATGACCTACCAGGCTTGGTGGAGTGACACTAGAGGGTGTCTAAAGGGGGCCAACATATACTTAGTTTGTGTTTTATGTTTTAATAATCTTATGTTTTGTGTTCTATTAATCCTGTGTTTTATGGTTTGAAGTTCTTTGATGACTGGTAACAATTTGCAAGTTGGGTGTAGATGGACTGAGGGTTTTTATTTTTTAGTATTATCATAGCCTATTAATAAAAGTGTGATCATTTTTGTTTGTATTGTATTTTAATGAATGACACCCTGTGTTTTCTTATTTTTTGAATCACACCCAGTGGGTGTGATAAGGGGGATTGTGAGAGATGTATTATTTTTATAATTGATGGGATGACTAACTTAGAAAGAATGCATTCTTGACTGGGCTAATGTAGGTTGTGTCACCTGGCAAGCTGTGATTGATGTGAAGAGCTGTTTTAGGGGGTAAAATGAGATAAGGATTTGTGTCTCCAAATACTAGACAATACTGGTTCTTTGTGATCTGTGAACCATCCTTGGACGTAGGAATGGTGTCTAGGGGAGCTGGCTATTCTCACCAAGACAGGTTGTTATGATAAGAACGTATGCCTGGAAACAGGGATGCGCTAAGAGGCGGGGAACAGCCAGTGCGTCAACGGATAGGCTGAGTAAGTCTAAACCACGCTCAAGTCTCTACTCTGATTGGCCAGCAGAGAGGAGGGAAACTCTCTCTGTCAGAGTATTTGAGGAAGAACATGTAAACAATGGATTTAGTTCTCTGTCTGCCCTGCGAGGTTTTTCAGTGAGCCCGTATACGAACCAACATACTTATCATACATACATTTTGCATATAATAAATTTAGCTTGGATTGAAGATCTCTTGATTCTTATTTCAATACCAGATTTGAATTACGCAATTTCTAACACTTCATAATTCATGAAGGTCATATTGACTGACTGATATTATCTCACAAAACAAAACCTATAAGTTCTCCAAAGCCTGTGTTAACCTATCCCAAAACCCCATTATTTCCCCCCTTCATTTCTCCCATTGCAACGGCCAACGAACCAGAGGTAGAAAATGCTGCCTCCTTTCAGTTTTTTAGGACTACAAGCTGGCGAGCTCTATAGGATAGAATATAATATCTAAAGAGCTGATGGTCTCATCATGTCCTGTAGGGGGACCTCTATCTTTAATAATGGGAACGTCTCTACAGTCTGAACCAGTCATTTGCATGATGTATTCAGATCATCAGTGTCCCTCCCACTTCACTGACATGTTCAATATGGTGAAACCTGCCGTGGTCTACTGATTGTCATCTATTCATCTATGTGACACTCCTCTTTTATTCTGTACATTGATACCAGACTCTTTCCAGCACTCTCACATATAACGTGATCAAACATGTTCACATTTCTCTTCACTGTTACTGTCTTAGTGCTCTGTGCTGCAGGTACAGTTTCATAATGTTTCATTTATTTAACCAGGAAAGTTAAGAACTAAATTCTTATTTACAATGACGGCCTTCTATAGTTATAGATATTGATGTTTCCAAGCATACGTTCACTTCACCTGAGTCTTGCTGTATTCAGGTCTAACTGTATCTAACTCTATTGATTTCATTCTCACTGTATCCTTACAGGTCTTGTTGAGGGGAGTGAAGTCACTCAGATACCCACCATACTCTGGGGACTGAAAGACAGTGATGCTCAGATGAACTGCAGTCACACTAAGGGTCCAACCTACTACCAGATGTACTGGTACAGACAGCGTCCAGGAGAGGGAATGAAGCAGGTAGTTTACACCAAGTAGTTATAGCAAACCAGACTATGGAGCCTTCGGTGAAGACAAATATCCAACTGTTAAGACAACGATCACTCACCTGAGTGCTTGATCGTTGGGGGTGGCAGGTCTGAGAGAGCTGGAACGAGTGATATGTCCATGCGACTGTATGCGCTACGAGTCAGGGAGGGGAGGGAAGCACTCGAGTAACCAGCATCGAGCTAAGACGAGGAGTCGAGAGAATGAGAACTAGAGGAGCTGAGAGGATGACTGTAGAGAAGCGAGGGAGGGAGAGCAGGAGAGCCAGATCAGCAGAGAGCAGAGGAGCAGAGAGAGGACGAAGACCAGGAGAGAAGAGCTGAGAGAGGATCCACAGGGAAGAGAGAGGAGGCAGAGGACAGGGCATGTACTGTGCGAGTGAGATGAAAGAGAGAAGAGACAAGCTACAAGCTGCGCAAAGAACCCGGATTTACGTCTCATCTCTTCTCTCCTTCATTTTCTCATATCTCTCTTCTCTCCCTCCCTCCCTCTCTCTACTCTCCCTCTCTCTCTCCTTCTCTCTCCTCTCTCTCTCCTCCTCTCCCCTTTCTCTCCTCTCTTCTCTCTCCTCCCTTCTCTCTCTCTTCTTCTCTTCTCTTCTCTCTCTCTCTCTCTCTCTCTCTCTTCGTCTCTCTCTCTTCTCTCTCTCCTCTCTCCCCTCTCATCTGCCTTAACACCTCTTCTCCTCCACTGCTCTCTATCCCTGCCCCCTCTATCTCTCTCCTCACCTGACGCTCTCTCTCTCCACTGCCCCCCTCTCTCCCCTGCCCCTGTCCCCCCCTCTCTCTCTCCGCACCCCACCTCTCTCTCTCTTCTCTCTCTCTATCTCCCTCTCTCTGTCGCTCTCTCCCTTCTTTCTCTTCCCGTAACCCCCTCTCTCTCTCTCCCCTGCCCCCATCTCTCCCCTGCCCCCCATCTCTCTGCACTCACTCTTTCTCTCTCCGTAACCCTCCTTCTCTCTCCCTGCCCCATCTTCTCCCTGCCCATCTTCTCCCCTCCCCCCCTCTGCTCTCTCTCTCTCGCTCTCACTCTCTCTCCCTCTCTCGTCACTCTCTCTCTTTCTATTTCTCTATATCCATCTGTCCAGTAGACTCATCATGACCAGAGCTTTCATCACGTAAAGTCCACCAGGTTCTCTCAGCACTATTGGGAAGTCCCAATGTTACAGTGATATTAAAATGCAGCCATAGTACTAGTTTCTACAACACCATATTATGGTACCAGCAGTCAATAGCTGATACTAGTCTCAAACTGATTGGATATGTGTATTATAAAAGTCAGACAGTTGAAGGTTCATTTAAAGAGCACTTTGAAATCCTTGGAGATGGAATGAAAGAAGCATCTCTTCAGCTTCTGTGCTGACCTGAAGACAGTGCAGTGTGTTACTGTTCTGACCTGAAGACAGTGCAGTGTGTTACTGTTCTGACCTGAAGACAGTGCAGTGTATTACTGTTCTGACCTGAAGTCAACCCAGTGATGTAGATACCCTTCTCTCTTCTACAAAAACCCCTTCTGATCCGTTACTCCAAAACTGCAGTGTACATCAACACCCAGCAGACCTGCTATCCACCGCTGTAGATGTCTGAGCACATGGAGGAAGATGCTATCAAACCTCTATACCAAATAATGTGGTTGATGTTGTTGCTTTGAAGAAACGGTTTGGGTATTTCTTCAAATTACAGCCTATTTGGTAGTGTGATTACTGCAGAATCCAAAACACAGATCAAATCTAAAGACTAAAAAAGACAAATACTTTCAATGATGTAGTTACCGGTTTGTTCCGCAATACACCTTTAAGTTGAACAGGAGACCTGTAAGTGAACAAGGTATCTGATTGAATATCAACATAAGTTCTGACGTCAAAGTGATGTCATTTCCTTCCCCTCCGGCAGCTCAGTTCAGCTCACCGTCTCTATTGACTTATTTCCTCTCACCCCTATGGACTCTGGTCTAAAGTAGTGCACTATAAATGGAATAGGGTGCCATTTGGGATGCAGTATACATTTGACACTCCCACTAGCTGACAACACATCTCTGACTATCTGAAAACCCTTTCTCCTTGTCCATGTGACACTTCTCTCCAGAACCATCAACATGATCACGCTCCTCATACAAGTAGCAACTCTACTACTATGGGTGACAGGTACTAAGTCCCTCATGAAAGATATATTTACTACTGAAGTATATTGCTACTGTATATTTCATATTGTCTGTTTTCATCCACAGGGCTGTCACAAACAGACAAAGTTCACCAGACTCCTACTGAAATACTAAAAAGACCTGAAGATAAAGTTCAGTTCAGCTGCAGCCACAATGATCCAAACTACTACATGATACTGTGGTACAAACAGTCAGCCCAAAACACTGCTCTGAAACTCATTGGGTATGTGAGATACACCAGTCCAATGGTGGAAGATTCCTTTAAAGAGCGTTTTAATGTGAGTGGAGATGGTGCAGCTAACAAAATGGCGTATCTACATATTCCCAAACTGAGAGAAGCTGAAGACAGTGCAGTGTATTTCTGTGCTGCTAGTGATGCACAGTGTTTCACTATACCCTCTCTCCTCTACAAAAACCCTCTCTGATCCTCTCATATAATACTGACTACAGCTCTATACACCTGCACCTGTCTTCAACCACTTCAACAACACTTTGCTATGAACCATTTGATATCAAACAGATGGTAATGATACTGTTATAAGTGGCTGGTTTAGATGGTTTAGATGCACTTCCTCAGTTCTCCAGCAGGAGGAGGTGTTTCTCCACACATATTTAGAAGCGGCTGTATAGTGGCACTCTATGGGCCCTGGTCAAAGGTAGTGCCCTATATGGGGAATAGGGTGTCACTTGGGATGTAAACGCTTTCTAAATGTCTGGCTCGCCCTACCGTACCTTCCCTAGGAGGCCTGGCTCGCCCTACCGTACCTCCCCTAGGGGGCCTGGCTCACCCTACCGTATCTCCCCTAGGGGGCCTGGCTCACCCTACCGTACCTCCCCTAGGGGGCCTGGCTCACCCTACCGTACCTCCCCTAGGGGGCCTGGCTCACCCTACCGTACCTCCCCTAGGAGGCCTGGCTCACCCTACCGTACCTCCCCTAGGAGGCCTGGCTCACCCTACCGTACCTCCCCTAGGAGGCCTGGCTCACCCTACCGTAACTCCTTGCCCGTCCAAATAAAATATTGAAATATTGATAATTATTTGACCAAGAAAGCACACCAACAGAAAGACGCATCAATCTCAGATAAAGCATCAGATCGAGCGAAACAGCGCCCCTCTGTCTTTGTATGTGTAGACCATGTATCTGATGCTGTCTGGACAAAAGGAGTATGGCATGTCATAACAGACAGCATCAGATACAAGGGCTACATACTGTATTTAGGGTGTGAGCATGGGTGCATTAGTGTGTGTGTATGTGTGTATGTGAAGAGTGTCAGGGTCAGTGTGTGGCTGAGTGGTAGAGACCTGAGGATGGCTGAGTGGTAGAGACCAGAGGATGGCTGAGTGGTAGAGACCTGAGGATCGCTGAGTGGTAGAGACCTGAGGATGGCTCAGTGGTAGAGACCTGAGGATGGCTGAGTGGTAGAGACCTGAGGATGGCTGAGTGGTAGAGACCTGAAGATGGCTGAGTGGTAGAGACCTGAGGATGGCTGAGTGGTGGAGACCTGGGGATGGCTGAGTGTAGAGACCTGGGATGGCTGAGTGGTTAGAGGACCTGAGGATGGCTGAGTGGTAGAGACCTGGGGGTGGATGAGTGGTAGGTAAGACTAGGATGGCTGAGTGGGGAGACCTCGGGGGCTGGTGGTAGAGACCGAGGATGGCGAGTGGTTTAAAGGGAGAGACCGAGGAGGGTGGGTAGAGACCGGAGGATGGCGAGGGTAGAGACCTGAGGATGGCTGGTGGAAACCTAGGTGGCTGAGGGGGGGTTTAGGGGGGAGGGAGGGGGGGGGGGGGAGGGGGGGGGGAAAAAAACCCCGGGGGGGGAGGGGAGAGACCGGGGGATGGGGGGGGAAAGACCGAGGTGGTGAGGGTAGAAGAAGGGGGGGGGAGGGGGGGAAAACCCGAGGGTGGCTGAGTGGTAGAGACGAGGTGGCTGAGTGGTAGAGAATAGGAGGTGGTGGGAAGAGACCGAGGGTGGTGAGTGGGAGAGACGGGGGAGGCTGAGTGGTGAGGGCCCAGAGGGAGTGGGGGGAGACCCGAGGATGGGTGAGGGGTAGAGACCGGGATGGTGAGTGGTGGGGACCTGGGAGGTTTGGGGGTGAATGGTAGAGACCCAGGGTGGTGAGTGGAGAGACCCGAGGAATGGAGAGTGGGGTAATGGTGGGGAAGGAGGGGAGGGGAAATGGGATGGCCCCGATGAGGGTAGAGACCCGGATGCTGAGTGGTGAGCCTGGGATGGCGAGGGGGGAAAAGGGGGGGTAGGGGAGACCAGGGGGGATGGGAAGAGTTAGGTAAGACCTGAGGGGTTTTGGCTGAGGGGGTAGAGGGAAGGGGGATGGTGAGTGGTAAAAGGGGGGGGAGAAACCCCCAGGGGTGAGGGTAGAGACCCGAGATGGGTGAGGGGGGTAGAGACCTTTGGGGTGGAGCGAGGATGGTGGGGGGTAGAGACCCGAGGTGGTGAAGTGGTAGGACCAGGGGTTTTATGGGAGAGACCTAGGATGGTGGTGGTGAGGGGCCGGGATGGCCCGAAGGGGGTAGGACCCGAGGGTGGTAGTGGTGAGACGGGGGTGGCTGAGTGGTAGGGGAAGGGATTGATTTGGTGGTGGTGGTGGTGGTAGAGACGAGGAGGCTGAGTGGTAGAGACCCGAGGAGGCTGAGTGGGTAGAGACCTGAGGATGGGGAGTGGAAGAGCCGAGGATGGCTGGGGGTGGTAGAGAAACCCGAGGGGGGCTGGGTGGGAGAGAAGAGGGGGTTTTTGGGGGGAAAGGGCCCCGGGGTGGTGAGTGGTAAGATGGGGTGGCTGGTGGGTAGAGGCCCGGGATGGGAGTGGTGGGGAAACCCGAGGTGGTGAAAAAGGGTGGGGGGAGGACCGAGGTGGTGGGGTGGTTTAAGACCTGAGGATGGGTGGTGGTTTGAGGACGGAGGATGGCGGTGGGTTTGAGCCCAAGGGGGGGCGAGGGTAGAGACCCAGGATGGCGAGTGGTAGAGCTGAGGATGGCTGAGTGGTGGACCTGAGGATGTGAGTGGTGAGACCTGAGGTGGCTGAGTGTTGGGGGGTAGTTGAACCGAGGATGGCTGAGTGGTAAGACCTAGGATGGGAGTGGGGAGAGAGAGGGGAGTGGTGGACCGAGGTGGTAGGGTAGAGACAGGGTGGCTGAGTGGGAAGGGAAAAATAAGGGGGGACTAGGATGGCGGTGGTAGAGACCTGAGGGTGGCTGAGTGGTAGGCCCCAGGATGGATTGGGGGGGTGAGGGTGGGTAGGGAGGACAGGGGGATGGGAGGGTTGAAAGGATGGCGAGTGGTAGAGACCCCGAGGGTGGTGAGTGGTAGGAAACCCCCGAGGGGGCGAGGGTGAGACGGGGGGGGATGGCTGGTGGTAGAGACTGAGGATGGCTGAGTGGTAGGACCGAGGTGGGGAGGGGTAGAGCCTGAGGATGGTGAGTGGTAGAGACCCTGGGGGGGTGAGTGGTAGAGAAGAGGAGGCTGAGTGGGAGAGACCGAGGGGTGGGGGGAGGGTAGAACTGAGGGGGCTGAGTGGTTTAAAAAGACCGGGAGGGTGAGTGGTGGGTACCTGAGGGGCTGAGTGGTAAGAAGAGGGTGGCTGATGGTAGAGACCCGGGGTGGTGGGGTAGAGACCTTTAGGGGGCTGGTGGGGTAGAGCCGGGTGGCTGATGGTTTGGGGGACCTGAGGGGTGAGGGTAGAGAGAGGAGGCTGAGTGGTAGAGACAAAAAGGGGGTGAGTGGGAGAGCCGAGGGGGTAGGGTAGAGACCAGGAGGCGGGGTGAGCCCCGAGGATGGCCTGGTTAGAGACCGAGGATGGCGAGTGGTAGAGACCGAGGTGGCTGAGTGGTAGAGAAAGGGTGGGTGAGTGGTGAAGAGGGGCCTTTTGGATGGTGGTGGTAGGGACCTGAGGATGGTGGGGTAGAGACGAGGGTGGCGAGTGGGAGACCTGAGGTGGGGTGGGGGTAGAGACAGAGGATGGCGAGGGGTGTAGAGACCGGAGGATGGCTGAGGGTAGAGACCTGAGGATGGTGCTGAGTGGGTAGAGGACCTTAGGAGGTTCCCGAGTGCATTCGGAAAGTAGTCAGACCCCTTGACTTTTTCAACATTTTGTTACGTCAATGGATTATAAAAACAGAAATACCTTATTCAGACCCTTTGCAATGAGACTCAAAATTGAGCTCAGGTGCATCCTGTTTCCATTAATCATCCTGGAGATGTTTCGACAACTTGATTGGAGTCCACCAGTGGTAAATTCAATTGATTGGACACGATTTGGAAAGGCATACGCCTGTCTATATAAGGTCCCAAAGTTGACGGTGCATGTCAGAGCAAAAACCAAGCCATGAGGTCGAAGGATTTGACCGTAGAGCGCCGAGACAGGATTGTGTCAAGGCACAAAAAATAAATAAATATCTGCAGCATTGAAGGTCCCCAAGAACACAGTGGCCTCCATCATTCTTAAATGGAAGAAGTTTGGAACAACCAAGTGTCACGGTTTCGTCCGAGGCTGCCTCTCTTCCTTGCTCGGGCAGGCTTCGGCGTTCGTCGTCTCCGGAATACTAGCTGCCACCGTTGCATGTTTCTATGTTCGTTTGCTTTTGTCTGATTGTTGTCACACCTGTTATCATTTAGTGTCATTAGTGTCCTATTTAGTTCTCGTTGTGTTTGTCAGGTGTTGTGTGTGATTGTTTTACTGTCGTGCCGGTAGGCTGGATATTTACTGTTTGCTCGGTTGAGCTAGTTTGCTCCTTAGTTTTGGAGTATTTTGTCGCACCTGTTTGTGCGCTTGTGTTTACGCCTACGTGCGGAGCTTTTGCCTCAGGGCATTTATTTCGTGTTTGTTTTGCTGTGCCTCACTAAAGTCTGTTGAACTAACGTACTGCGTCCTGCGCCTGATTCCACCCACACCCACCTACATCTACCTTGACAGAATCACACACCATACTCGATGGAATCAGCAGGAGCCGCAGCAGCACAGGCGACGTTGGAGGACAGGATCCGTGAGCAGGATGACCAGATCCTGCGGATGGGGTCCGCACTGCAGGAGGTGATCACCACCATCCGAGGCTGGGAGACCCGAGGGACTCCTCCACCGCCATCCTCCCTGCCCGCACCATCGGCCACTCAGCCCATTCCCGCTCCGGAACCCAGAGGAGTTCGACTCTCGCTCCCGAGGGCCTACGATGGGACCGCGGCCGGGTGTCAGGGATTCCTTCTCCAGGTGGAGCTTTACCTGGCCACCGTGCACCCGGCGCCCTCGGGACACGAGAGTGTGTCCGCCCTGATCTCCTGCCTTTCCGGGAAGGCGTTGGAATGGGCCAACGCAGAGTGGAGGAGGATCGACGCTAACACCATCACCTACGACGAGTTCTCCCGCCGCTTCAGGGCGGTGTTTGACCATCCCCCCGGAGGGGAAAGCGG